CAGCTTTAGGACAGCGAGGTTGGCCTCCAGGTCGTAGGCATTCTCCTTGGCCTGGGTCTCCACATAACGCTCCAGGGTGGCCAGGTTCTCAGGATTGTACCTTGAGAAGGAACAGAACAGGTGAGCAGAGAGACAGCAGATGCTGAGCTGTCTTTGAAGCCAGAGAATACTCTGGTTCCTCCCTCCCTCCTCACTGCATCCAGCCTGGGCACCTGCCCTGGCCCTGTCCAGGATTGGCTCATCAAATTTCTCCACATACCAGATCTCTCCCCTAAGTCCCACCAGGGCTGTGGGTCTTGTCCTGAAAAACTCCCCACCCCTCAGTCAATCACATCTGCAACCTGCATGCTTGGCCTCTTGAACATTATCTGCCGCCCAAAGGCTCTCCTCCTCTCCCCAGGAACCTATCCCAATCCAGTCCTCTCCTTTCCCGCCGGGCTCCCATCCTATTGTCTTTCAGCTTCCTCCAGAGTCTCACGGCCACCCCAACTCCATCCTCCTGAGGGGCTTCCTAAAGAACAGGACCATGCCTCTCTCTCCTGCTTACAGTCCTTCCCTGCTCCTCCGAGCCGTCCTTTCCTCCGTGATCCAAGCCCTCGAATCTCTACACGGTATAGTCCATCTACAAAGAAGACTTCCAACCCCTATGCATCACCCCGCGCCCCTCCGCGGAGCATTTGTCCAGTGTCTCCTGCCTGGGACTCCCTTCTGCCCTGCCTTTTCTTGCTAACTCGCCTTCCCCTTCTTTCTCCTCCTTTGCTTCATTCACACTCATCTGTCTTTCGGGTCTTCACCCAGACTTCACCGCCTTCAAAAAGCCCTCCCCTTGACTCAGGTTAGGCTAGGTGTCTCCTCCACCTCTGACTTCCACAGCCTCCTATACCGTCCCGATCCTTGGCCGCACCCCGGCCTGCCTTCCCTCTCTCTCAGGCCCCACCACGGTGACCGGGCCTAGCCATTCCCGGCCATCACACAGCACGGCCTAACCCTGGGACCCCCATGAAAGCAAGATCTACAGCTTTCTTGGTCGCCTCTAAGCGCCCGCATGGCCAGCACGGCTATAAGACGCATGAATTACACGAGGGGCCGCGAAGGGAGAGACGGAGGCCGTGGGAGTCCGTGGGGGAACCGAGGGGCAGAGAGCAAGACCAGCACGAAGCTTTTGTCGTGCGGTGTCCTCAGACTGCTCCCCCAGGGGCGAGTCTTCTAGAACGGCTGGGAGACTCCCCAGGGCAGGCCTGGGGCCCGGAGCAGCCCGAGACTCCCCGGGAAGATCCTCTTCTCCACCCCGCTTGCTCAGAAGCGCTCCCTCGGACGCGACTCACACCTGTCGATACCCTTGAGCAACTTGCCCACGTTCGCTCTCATCTGCTCGAACATTGCCATGACTGCTGTGGCTCTCCACTTCCCGGCTGGAGGCTGAGGCCGCGCCGGCACGGCGGCGGAAAGGGCCGGAAGCAGACGGGAGGGACCGAAACGGAAGAGGAAATACGTCACCGGGAGCGCCTAGCCCCCCCCCAGCCCGCCCCGGGAAGGCGGGGACAGAAGGGGGGCGGCGCTTTCAGCAGCAGCCACGCTTTCCGGCCACCACGTGACTTCTTCGCGGTGGGGGGGGTTTGCCGCAATTGGCGCGTGCGCGTTCCCTCCCGGCCGACAGCGAGTTTCGTCCACGCCAGTGCGCAGGCGCCTTCTTCGGACGAGGAGGCGGGGCCGGACTCGGCTCGGCGCTCGGGCTCTTCGTTCCTGGTTGGGGCTGCACGCTTGTTTGCCCGCGAACTCTCCAAGCAGGAAAACGAGCACTGCACGGACGACGCTCGGCCTGTTAAGTGTGGCTGCGAACTCACATGTGTGGGAACGCACGGAGTAGCCTGCCCTTCGGGCCATGATCAAGTTCCTTGGGATTTGCCTTCTGAGATGCCATCATCCTCTGCCCCTTGCGTCCCCACCCCGACATTCACCCTTGCGCCTCCCTCTCCAGTACTCTGGTGGGGGGGGCGGGGCGGGGTGTGCGGAGGGGGCCCCTGAGGCTGGATCTTGAATCCTCCAGTGTCAAGTCTTGGGCCTCTTGTCTCATTTCCAAGGGTAGAGGCCTGCAGAGCTGGGTTGAGGGGCTCTTGGACCCTGTGGAAGTACTCCAATCCCCATAATTCTAGGGGCGACTGCAAACCCCACGTGTACAGCCATGAGTTATGTGTATATCAGCTACATGTGTGGCATGTGTGCTCCGGATCCATCTATGTCTTTGTACATGTGAGGAAACAGACATGGCTGCACAGTCCCCAGGTGGGCGGCTTATGCATGTATGTACCCCATGTTCAAGGCCCTCTCTGCAAACCTGCTACCTCCAGGTGGTGGCCAAGCCCTCATCCACACAGCAGAGGTCCGACTTGGGCTTTTCTCTCCAACTCAGAACTAGAAAGGGGCTGCTAGGGCACCCCCCTACACCCCAGATCACAATTAAGATCATTCGCATCTCATTTGCATCCAGCCCACACCCTAGGGGTCCCCTGGGTCCTGATACAAGCTGCCCCCCACAGGCTGTCAGGGCCCAGGGGACAGGGGGAGGAGCTGGTTGCACAGCCTTGCACTGGGGCAGGAAGCTAGAGTGGGAGGAGGGGGGTGGCCACAGCCAGAGGAGGCAGGGCGGGCGCAGGGTGAGTGGGGAGGGAAGGAGGTGCCGACATTTGAACCCTGTGGCCCTGCTGGCCCCCTGGGCTCAGGCCCAGCTCCAGCCCTCAGGGATGGACCGTGTGGATCCTGACATCTTTAACAGGGACCCCCGGGACCATTATGACCTGCTGCAGCGGCTGGGGGGCGGCACGTATGGGGAAGTTTTCAAGGTGAGGAAGCCCCTGCCTGTCTCTCCATCCCGGCAAAGCAGAGACCTTTGGGGGCGAAGCCTGGGAGGGAAAGCAAGCGAGTCTGGCTTTGCTTCCAGGATGCCAAGGAGGGCTTGGGTGGGCCGGGGACCCCTCTGACTGCCAACTTCCCCTTACAAGGCTCGGGACAAGGTGACTGGGGACCTGATGGCATTGAAGATGGTGAAGATGGAGCCTGGTAAGGCGAGGACCCCAGGGGTCCCTCCCCACCCCTTCATCCCTACCTCCCCCTCCTCCTGGGACACTGGGGTCACCTCCCCAGACATCCCTTCTTACAGCTGCCTTTTCTCCCCCACCCCACCCCACCCCATGCAGATGATGATGTCTGCACGCTGCAGAAGGAAATTCTCATCTTGAAAACTTGTCGGCATGCCAACATTGTGGCCTATCATGGGACGTACCTCTGGTGAGGCCCCCCGGGCCTGGGCGCCCAGGCAGCCGAGCCCCCAACCCGGAAGTGGGCCTCCAGTATGATCTCCAATGCTGCCATCTCATTTCTGAACCGGGCCCCCCTGCCCCCACCCCTACCCCCAACCCCCAACCTCATCTCCAACTCGGAAGTCTCATTGCTGAACGGGGCATCCTTAACTTGAGCCCCAAACCTGGACCCCAGTTTCTGACCAAGGTGCTCCTAACTCGCTCTCGAATCCTGAACTGTCTTTTATGACCTGCCCCTCCCCCACCCCATACCTACATTGAAACTTGAACCCCCATTTCTGACATCTCATCCCCAGCCCAGGACTCTCATTTCTGACCAAAGGTCCCCCAAATTGAATCCTTCATAGTCACTCAATTTCAACCCAAGTCTCCCCCCAAAACCAATCCTCATGCCACCCTGCCCCTAGAGGTCTTTCAGTTTCATCCTCTGCCTCTTGGTATGAACCCCGAAACCCCCTGGCCCACAACGGATGACTATAGGTGCCCCAGTAATGACGCTCGCCTGGGTCCCTCTGTTCCTTCCCAACCTCCCTAAGCGGTGAGCCTTTGCCTTGTCCCCTGGGCTGTCAGAGGCCAGCAGGGGGGGTCTTGGCTGTGGAGCCCAAAGATGTGGGTTTGAGTCTAGCTGACCCCTGCAAGCACATTTCCCCTCCGAGCCTCCACGTTGCTATCTGTGTGATGGGAGAGGAGAGACCTCGTGCTGACGGGCAAGGCGAGCTAAGAGGTGGCGACAGCTGTGAGGGTGCCCGTTGAACCAGAACCAGACAGACAGGGCACCGACTGGGGGCCCTCTGAGCAGAAGGATGGTTTCTTGCTGTGGCTGTACTGACGACTCTTGTGCGGCAGGCTGCAGAAGCTCTGGATCTGCATGGAATTCTGCGGGGCTGGGTCCCTCCAGGACATCTATCAAGGTGAGAGGAAAGACCGGGGTTCTTCCAGTCCTCCCCACACCTCCTGTGTCCCCCTTCCTCTCTCATGGACACCTGTCTGGGGCAGGCCTTCGGGTCCCCGACTTTGCACACTGCACCCCTCCTCCGGCCCTGGTCTGGAGGTGCGGGATATGCCTCCGTGACCCAGTGAACCCTGGGACCCCTACCACTGCACTGGCTCTGTGTCAGGCCTGCATTCCCTGGTTCATCCGGGCCTTTGAGTTTTTCTGTGTTTCCGGTTCACTTCGGGGGTGGGGTGGGTGGGGTAGGGGGACTGGGTTTCTGGGCCTCTCTCTTTACCCCTGCCTGTCCTCCCTCTGAGAATCAGAGAATTTGATTCCCTGGTTCCCGCCTCTGTCTTCCACCCTCTCCCTGACACCCTCTCACCCAACTACCTAACTTCATCAGAAGTTCCCCCGGAGGGAGAAACTGAGGCCCACAGGGAGGAAGTGACTCACAGAGCCTGGCTTATAGGGCTGTCTGTCTGTCTGTCATCTCATTCCTCTGTCATCTCTTGGTTGGTTCTCTCACTTATTCCCTCCCCCTCGCCCTCTGTGTGTGTCATGGGTTAGGAGCTGGGCTGCTGAGGTCAGCAGTTCAAACCCACTGGCCACTCCCCGGGAGAAAAAGGAGGCTGTCTGCTTCCCTAAAGGTTCACAGCCTCAGGAACCCAGCAGGGGCACCTCACCCCTGGCCTCCAGGGTCACTGGAATTCATTGGAAATGACTGGACGCTGTTTGATCCCTGCTTTTGATTCCTTGCTCTTGGTTGGGTGCCCCCACATCTCTGCCTTTCTGTCTCCCCATTCCCTCCCCGTATGGGATCACAACACTCCCCGATTCAGAGCCATCCACCCACTCTCATTTCCCTCCAGAGAGAAGCCTAAGGCCTTATCGGGCCCACGAGCCTGACCTGGCCACCTACACTTTCCTCTTCCCCGAATCCACTCACCCACATTCCTCAGACAGGCTCCCTCCCCCGGGCCTGCACCCTGCCATCCATCCTGCCTGCCCTGCACCTGCCGGCTCCTCAGGGAAGCCTCCCAGGCCAAGGGAAGGACTTCTAATCTCCCTCTCTTTCCTGGGGCTCTTTTCCTCCTGGCTTTTTATTTTGTACCTCCCTCGTGGCCTGTGCTTATTTCGTGGGACTGAAGTCCTCCCACGGGAGTCCTTGTGGCCTGCCCTACACGAGTTTCCCCTTTCCTCTCTGCCTGCCCCACTGGAGTGGTCTTTCCAGGCTGGCAGGAAGCCCCTTTCTGTTACAGGAGTCCTGTACCACCCCCTCCTACTTCAGCTGCACCCACAGTCCTGCCTTTAGCTTCTCCATTAAAGCCAGTTCCGTGAATCAGTTCCGAGACTCTCACTCAGCCTGTGGCCCTCTGGCCTCGCTGCCTCTTTGTTGCCAACCAGCCCTCCCCGTCCCCGCTGTACCATCCTGCGCTGTACCATCCTGCGTGCCCTTCCCCTGGGGCACCATCCCTCCCAGTCTGGGTGGGGAGGAGGAGGGCCCAGGGTCACCCGGACCCAGTTTTCCTGGCCCACTTCACACTGTGCTGGGGCTGCACCACCTTTGCAGTGACAGGCCCGCTGTCGGAGCTCCAGGTTAGCTATGTCTGCCGAGAAGTGCTCCAGGTAAGGGGAGGCCACTGGGGGGGGGCACCGCTGAGGGGGGCAGGGCTCCCCACTCCCCACACTCACAGCTGCTGGCACCACCCCTCTCCCCAGGGACTGGCCTATCTGCATTCCCAGAAGAAGATACACCGGGACATCAAGGTGCTGTTCTGAGGCCGAGAGGACCCACCTCTCCCGGGGGCGTGGGGGTGGCACTTGGGGGCTCTGGAAACACGCTGGTATTGAGCTGCAGGGCAGTAGACCCAGAACTGGGCTGGGCTGTTTGTGTGGGGGGGGTTGTCTCTGACAGCCTCTGACACACTCCTGTCACCTGTTTAGGGAGCCAACATCCTCATCAATGATGCTGGAGAGGTGCGGCTTGGTGAGTGGGTTGGGAAGACGCCTGCGTTGGGCCGGCGGTGGGGGTGGGGGTAGGGGTGGGGATGCTGCGTGGACAGATGGGAGACCCTAAGTCACTCCCCCCGCCCCTGCTGCTTCCAGCTGACTTTGGCATCTCAGCCCAGATTGGGGCAACCCTGGCCCGAAGGCTCTCTTTCATCGGGACCCCCTACTGGTGAGTGCTGCTTGGGGTGGGGGAGCAGCAGGGGGGAGGGTGGGGGCAGCTGGAGGTAAGGGTTGGGTCGGGTGAGGCAGTGGATCAGCTGAGAATCACTTTCACCTTCCCGGTTACTTCCTGGGCTCAGCTCAGTCTGTCTTCAGGGTACCCGGTCCTTCCCTGGCCCCACTCTTAGGGTGGTGTGGAGGGTGGAGAGTGGGGTAGGGGTGAGGGCTTCTCTGTGGCCTCTCCCTTTCCCTTCCTCCTTGTTCCTGCCCATCTTCAGCCGGCTCTCTCTGGCTTGTCACCTCTGTCTCCCCCTCTATTGCTTCTCTTCCCACCAGGCCGTCTACCACATCTCATCCCACCCTTGCCCCTTCTGCTTCTCTGGGTCTCTCTCTTTGCCCCAACTCCCTGTGCCCCAAGGTCCCTTCCCATGTTTCCCCTGCATCTTCTCTCTGTGCCCCCTCTCTGAGACTCTGTGCCCCCAGGATGGCTCCAGAGGTGGCCGCCGTGGCCCTGAAGGGGGGCTACAATGAGCTGTGTGACATCTGGTCCCTGGGCATCACAGCCATCGAGCTAGCTGAGCTGCAGCCCCCACTCTTCGATGTGCACCCTCTCCGGTAGGTGTCGGGTGCCCCCCATGCCCCTGAGACCCAACTCACGCCTGACCCCAAGCCTCCCCACATGAGGATTCCCCTGTAAGAGACCACCCCCTCCTCAAACCCAGTCTGAGGTGTGCTGAGGATTCTCCCAAGTCAGAAAGCCTGCCCCACCCCACCTGGCCTCCTGCCCACACGGAGTGATGCACAGCATGGCCAATGGTGCTCCCTAGAGGCGGGGCCCTTCCCATCCTGCCCTGGGCCTTCTGGGAGGGGCTGGGGACCCCTGGTGCCTTGAGGTCCGACCTCCTCCAGTTGGGCCTGCGGGCTCATGTTCCCGTCCTGCCCTGCCCTTCCAGAGTGCTCTTCCTAATGACCAAGAGCGGGTACCAGCCGCCACGACTGAAGGAGAAGGGCAGATGGTGAGACGGGAGGGCAAGGTGGCGGGCAGAGCCAGGACGGCGGCTTGGGCTGAGGTTGGCAGGTCTCTTGGTTGGGAGTGGGGGTGGGGGACTCGCTTCAGATCCCGCCTGCTCTCTCCCCAGGTCAGCAACCTTCCACAACTTTGTCAAAGTCACCCTTACCAAGAACCCCAAGAAACGACCGAGTGCCATCAAGATGCTCAGTGTAAAACCTCCCCTCTCTGAGGAACCCCCCCCCCCCAAACTCATGCCACCCCACGGAACTGCCCAGGGCCTCCTTCAACTCCCTGGGAGTCGGTCACTTCCTCCCACGAGCACTCAGGCCCTTTAAACTCTCAGTTGTGACCCTGCAGCTCGGAGTAGAACTTGCTCCTGGGTGGGCTGTGGGCCGCCAGGTTTCTGCTCATCTGCTCAGCATTGTCACGCGTCTGCATTCTCCAGAAGGCCCTGCCCGAAGGCTCACTTGGCGCCCCTTCCCACCAGATTCCCTGAGGCTGATCCTGGGGACTCAACCCCCGTCCTTTGACCTCTGTCCCTCCCCAGCATCAACTGGTGTCGCAGCCTGGGCTTAACCGAGGCCTGATCCTGGACCTTCTGGACAAGCTGAGGAATCCAGGGAAGGGGCTCCCTGGCGGGGAGACTGAGGACGAGGAGCCTGAGGTGAGGGACCCCTGGCCAACAAAGCAGTGGAGTCCTGCTGCCACGACACAGGCCAGCAGCGCAGGGCCCTAAAAGGATGTCACTTACCACTCCTGTTTCAGGGACTTAGCACCCCCCTCTGGCCATGAAAACACTTGTACTCTAGCTCAGGGGTCGGCAAACTTTGGAGACAAAAGAGCCCATCCTGCCCCTCACAACAGTTTGAACATCATTGGCGAGCCATAAAGACACATCCAAAGTCGCCCTTGTCTGAATGGTGGCCGTTACAATGTCTCCAGTTCCCTTCGGTCCAAGGGCGGCCGTTACAATGTCTCCAGTTCCCCTCAGTCGCCCTTGTCTGAATGGCGGCCGTTACAATGTCTCCAGTTCCCGTTACAATGTCTCCAGTTCCCGTTACAATGTCTCCAGTTCCCTTCGGTCGCCCTTGTCTGAATGGCGGCCGTTACAATGTCTCCAGTTCCCTTTAGTACTTCAATGCACATCTGGAGAGAACATTTTGCCGACCCCTGGTGCTGCCCAAGATCTGGGCTCCCGTGTCTAGCCGCCCCTCTGAATGTCAGCGCCTGTCACAGTTTACAGGAGTAGAAAGCCTCATCTTTCTCCCAAAGAATGGCTGGTTGGTTTTAAACTGCTGACCTTGTAGATTGCAGCCCAGTGTAACCACTACTATGCCACCGGGGCTCTAGGGACAAAGTGCAGGCATCTGCTTTGGTAGCTCCCTGGAAAGTGCCAGCACCGCCCCCCAGGGGGTGGCACTACCCACTTGGGGACACACTGGCCTCCCTTGGCTCACAGGAGGAGAAAGGGGTAGGGGCCTATGTACACAGAGCATTATGGGAGGAAGCAGGGCTCCAGGCTGGGCCCGAAGGGTGGTGGCAGGCTCTTGGGGACCTTGAGCCCTTACACGGCTCTCCATTGACCCAGGTACCCCCCGCCATCCCCCGGCGGATCCGGTCCACCCATCGGTCCAGCTCTCTGGGGATCCCTGATGCTGACTGCAGTCGTAAGTAGATAATCCTTACCCTGGGGGACAGCTGACCTTTTGATAGATCCTGGGGCCCCGTCACTGCCTGACCCTCTTCACCCCCGGCCCACATAGTGATGAGGAGACCTGCACCTCCCTGAGCTGTATCCAGGCCCCATGAGCACCCACCCCACCAAATCACCACCCGAACTCAGAGAGACCCGAGAAATCTCGGTCCCAATTGCTGAGGGCTGACCAGACCCCAGAGGTCCACCCCATCCCTGCCCCTGCAGCCCCCAAAGACCTCCAGCACCTTTGTAACCACAGTGAGCCCCCACCTCCCTGATCCCAAACCCTGACCCCCCTAAAATCCAGCCATCCAAGGTCATTCCAATCTCCGTGGCCCAGACTCTACCCCAAACTCTCTCTATTCCTAAGTCGTCTTTACAGTGCATGCGTGGCTGCCCCCCACCCCCTCGCCCGGCTTGACGACTTCTCTCCCCACCTCCCAAGGACGACACCTGGAGTTCCGAAGGTTGAAGGCAGCCGAGTCCAGACGGCCAGCCCACACCGTGAGACGCCTCCCCTCGGCCACCCCAGGCGCCCTCCCCGTCCCCACAGCTACGGCTGACGAGCTCCATAACCCACAGACTCTCTGCCAGCCCACCGGAGACAGCAGGAGCAGCAGTCCCAGGTCAGGCCCCCCTGTCTGGGGGGTGCAAGCATGGGGGCTGGGGTGGATGTGGACCCCCCTGACACCTGTGCTTGTCCTTCTCCAGGCAGCCCCTGTCAGAGTCTGAGGATGACTATGACGACGTGGATGTGTACGAGGGCCCCTGGCCACACCTACCCCCCCCCCCAGCTTCCTTCGGACCCCGCCTTGACCCACACTTTCCTCCCACCCCAGACCCAGCCTGGACCCTCAAGGCAGTTGCCACCTTCCTTCCTCCCCGCCCCTCCCCCAACTTCAGCTTCTACCTACCTTCACCCCCAACCTGTCATCTTCTTGTATGACCTCTGACCCGACAGACCCACCCACCCGCACACACACACTTCACCTCTTCTTGCCCTTAACCCCAGACCTAACCCCAGTTCCTTCCAGACTATGTTGAGCGCCCTCCTTCTACCTTCCAAATCAGTGCTGAGCCTGTAGACTGGCTGCCCCCAGCCCGGCTCCGGCGCCCAGCCACACCTAGACCGGGGCCCCGAGCTCCAGGGCCCTCCTCTTTCTTTCACTGCCCCCTAACTTCAGATTGAGTTTGGCTTGGGGGACATTCTTCCAGGGCTAGACCCTCAGCCCCAGAGCCAACCCTCAACCCTGCCAGTCAGCCCAGGCCTCCGGCCAGCACCAGCCTCCGTCTGCAGGGAGCTCCCACCAGACCTGTGTGACCTGTGAGCCCCACCCACAGGACCTGGCTTCCTACTAGAGCAGCGGTTCTCAACCTGTGGATCACGACCCCTTTGGGGATCGAATGACCCTTTCACAGAGGTCGCCCAATTCATAACAGTAGCAACATGAAGTAGCAATGAAAATAACTGTATGGTTGCGGTGGGGGGGTGGGGGGTGGGGTGTCACCACAACATGAGGAACTGTATTCAAGGGTCAAAGCATTAGGAAGGTTGAGAACCACTGCCCTTGATTCTAGTAGATCGAAGGGCCTAGCCCAGGCCTGATACCATATAAGCACTCACTACACAACCATGCCATTGCTCTTGTCACCGAGGTCACCAGTCCTGTAATCCTCCACTCCCGCCCGGACCCAGGCCCCCCCTTACCTTTCCTGACCTCAGTGTCACCCCAGTACTCCAGCCCTGAATTCCCCACCCCAGTCCTCCATCCCCAGACACCCCACATCTGCTTATCCCATCTTTGTGTTTCAGCCCCACCCCTGCAGAGGACACACCTCCTCCGTTGCCCCCCAAGGTAAGGCCCTGAGCCAGAAAGTGGGGCTTCTCAGGCTGTGGAGCTGAGATGCTTGGAGCTGAGACCCAAGTCCCTGGAGGGCCAGAGGCAAGGGTGCTGGCCTGGGGAGTGCTGGGAGTGGCATCCCTAGACTTAGGGGTTGGGGGGAAGTCAAAAGGTTCCACCTGGGGTGCCCTGGGAGCCTGGGACTTACAGGGCAGGGGGTTGAGTTTGGGGAGTAGGTAACAGGGGAGGGTTGGAGTAGGGGCTACTTCTGGGTGTCAGCTCTGCCAAAAGTGGGAGGTCAGGGTGCCTCCTCTCTGAGATCACCCCCAAGTCTGGGAAAATTCCAGGATCTTTTCATTCTAATTTCTCACAAACTTTTTGAGGTTCCCCTCCCTCTCATTCTGCCCTTTCCCCCAAAGCCCAAGTTTCGTTCTCCGTCGGACGAGGGATGTGGGGAGTCTGGGGGTGAGGGGCAGCTGAGCCCAGGCGTGCTGGTCCGGTGTGCGAGTGGACCTCCCCCACGCACGCCCCGCCTTGGGCTTCCTCCGGCTACCTGTGGTCCCCACCTCACTGCCTATTCAGGTAATGGGGCAGTTTCGGGGAGGAAAGGAGGGGGATGGAGGCTCTCCAGGACTGACTCCCCAGGCTCTCCCACCCTTTCCAGAACCTTCACTCAGGAACCCAGCCCCCCAAGAGCCTGACCGGCCCCCACGGCTACCCCCCAAGAAGGAAAAGATGAGGAAGAAGGTGAGAATCTTACCCCTCTGGATGGGACTTGGGGAGCAAGGGGTTGCCTGGCAGGAAGCAGGAGAAAAAGCCTAACCGTCTCTGGCATTTGTCACCACTTCCTCAGTGCCACACACAGAGCCCCCCATTTCCACACAGTGCCACAATATCATGGAAGGAGATATTATCCCTCACCTAGCATCTGGGGGAAATGGAGGCATCAAAAAACCCTCCCTGCAGCGAGTCCATTCTGACTCACAGTGACCCCATAGGAGAGGGTGGAACTGGCCCCGTGGGCTCCCTGGGCTGTAACTCTTTACAGTAGTAGAGCGCCTCATCTCTCTCCCTCAGAGCGGCTGGTGGTTTTGAACCACTGGCCTTGGGGTTAGCAGCCCAGTGCATGACCCAGTGCACCACCAGGCTGCCTAATTGAGGGACTGAGAAGATAAAGGACTTGCTCAAGGCCCACGTGCCTTTGAGGGGACAGACACAGGAGTTGAACCCTTCTCGCTCTCATCTCTTGTCTCATGAGCTGTCCCTTCCTGTCCCCTGCCCACTTTTGCTGGACACGGCTGCATCTGTTGCGTGCCCAGGGATGCGCCCTCCTTGTGAAGTTGTTCAATGGCTGCCCGCTCCGGATCCACAGCACAGCCGCCTGGACGCACCCTTCCACTAAAGGTGGCTCTTCGAGAGCTGGGTGTGGGGTGGGGGATGGGGCAGAGCCTGCAGGAAAGAGCAAAGCCAGGGAGGGGGCAGGGAGGGGCTGGTGAGAGTGGGTGGCAAAGGCAAGGCAGGGCAGAGGGAAAGGTGGGTGAAGAGAATGGGTAAAAGTTGACCGAGAATGGGTACCGATCAACTCAAGACCGAAAATTAGAAAACACAGAGGGCTTGGGGCTCCAAATTTGAGAGACAAGCCACAGTGTGGGGCACAAGAAGGCAGACAGCAAGTGACTTGGGGAATTAATATTGGGGAAGCAGGGCTGAGCATTCTTGGGTTGGAGTTTGGGGCTCAGAAGGCAGTAGCAAAGGCCGGAGTTTGTGAGTTCAAAATGTGGGGACAGAGGTAGGGAGGGGGAAACAGGACCACCATGTGGGGAGTCCCAGTGAGCAGAAGAAGTCATATCTGGGGGTGTCTGAGCAGCAGGATCAGAGCTGGGCAGAGAGAGAAGGCCTCATGGTGCAGCTTACTGTGAGCGGGTTATTTGGGGGCTGAGGAGCTCTGAGTGTGGGGTCAGAACTGAGGACACAGCCGATCAGGATTTGCAGATCGGCCCCCCAGAATGTGGGGGGCAGGGTGGGTCAGAAGCAGGTGGCAAGAAGCCCAGGTGAAGGGACTGGGTCGGGGTTGGAGTTCAGATTTGGGAGAACAGAGGCTAGGCATGCTGGTGGAGTGGGGGGAGTGGGAAAATGAGAATCCCAGAGCAGAGGCCCAGCGCTGCTGGGGGCCAGTGTTAGGGCCAGGCCAGCCCCCAGGATGAGGCAGGTCCCAGTGACTCGGCATGTCTTCCCCCAGACCAGCACCTGCTGCTGGGGGCAGAGGAAGGGATTTTCATCCTGAACCGGAGTGACCAGGAGGCCACGCTGGAGATGGTGAGGGGCTGCACCCGGGGCAGGGGCGGGCAGAGGGGCGGAGTCTGGGTTCCACAGGTTTCAAAGGAGCCCCTCCTCCCTTCTCTGCAGCTCTTCCCTGGCCGGACCACCTGGATGTACTCCATCAACAACGTGCTCGTGTCTCTGTCAGGTCCGCTGGGGGTTAGGGAGGAGAGGCAGGGCGTGGGGGCAGGAGGCCAGGAGTGGGGCAGTGGATGGCCACAGCACCCACGCCTCAGGCCCCCTTCATATAGCTTGTCATTCCAACTCCATCCACCTCTTACCAGGACTAAGCCCTGACCGTCTTAGAGGGTTACTCTTAGGGCTGCTAGGACTCAGAATCAGTGTGTGAAGGCCTAACTGAACCTCCATTTCCCCATCTGCAAAATCATCCCCATCCTCACATCAGTTTTGAGGTAACTTCTGCCAACTTGGCTATAGTCTGAACACGGACCACGCCCTAAGGGACTCTCCTTTCAACTGATGGGTGGATGAAGTTATGTTACAGAAGACCATTATGTTATGCTCTATTACATGATGGAAGATGATTGTATCCAGTCGCACGACAAAGTAGCAACTAGTCTAGTGTTGGGTCAAATCACTGGATTACTCAAGTTGACATACTATTAGCCATTTTGAAGAGCCCAAGTAGCGCAGTGGTTCCATGTTGAGCAAGGTCAGCAGTTTGAAACCACTAACTGCTCGGAGGGAAAAAGACGAGGCTTTCTGCTCCTGTAGAGAGTTACAGCCTTACAAACCCACAGGGCAGTTCTACCTTGACCTAGAGGGTCGCTGGGAGTCAACTTTGACTCGATGGCAGGTACTTTGGAGCTATTAGTCATCTCGAGATGTTTCTTCAACTGGTAATGTGTCTAACAGCATCTGCCTAGTTACGTGTTAACAGTTAGCTTGCTTTTATTGCTACCAAACCATAAAAATATTTATTAAGGAAAGATATAAAAAGGAAGCAATTGTTTGACATATCCCCCATATAAGTCTAGACGTTTCTTTTTTTAAAAATCATTTTATTGGGGGCTCATACAACTCATCACAATCCATACATACATCAATTGTATAAGGCACTTTTGTACATTCGTTACCCTCATCCTCAAAATATTTGCTCTCCATGTAAGCCCCTGGCATCAGCTCCTCATTTCCCCCCCTCCCTCCTCGCTCCCCCCATGTTTCTTTCTTTCTTTCTTTCTTTTTTTTTACAGAACTTGCTTGTGTTTATTCCTAAATTTAAAAAAAATCATTTTATCGGTACCTCATGCAGCTCTTATCACAATCCATATGTGTTAACCGTTTCGACACCCCCCTCCCTTTTTTTTTTTTAACTTTTTATTGTGAATTACGGCCGAAGGTGACCAGATTTTAACATAGGTAAAGCGGAACAAAAGTGGGACACCATTGATAAAACTCATATCCTGACGAAATAGCCACATGGCAGCCGAAAACTGTATACCCTAGCTTGTCATGCATTCTTTCCAAAAATCAGGACTTTTTAAAAACGCCGCGGGACGCGGTAAAAATTGTTAAAAATCAGGACTGTCCCGCCAAAAGCGGGACGTCTGGTCACCTTAAATTACACGGGAGTTTACAGCTCAGATCATTTTTACATCCAACAACTTATCAAACTCCCCAATTGTTAGCCAAACTCGGTGGCCAGTGTACCAGGAAAGCAGTGGAGACAGGTTATCCCAATGCCTGGCGCCCCCGCGTGTGTGGGAGGGGCAACGCACTCCCAGGGGGTTTCGGTGGACCGTCTGTCTGAAGCCCATCACCAGGCCTTTTGTCCAAGGAGGTCCTGGTGGACTCTGACGGCTGCGACCCCGTGTGAGCAGAGGGGAACTGGGGTTTTCAAGACTACGATCTTTGGAAGTGGATTGCTGGGCCTTCCATGGCCCCTCGGAGTGGGTTCTCACTAGTGGTTGGGGAAGCCCAGGGGCCCCTGTTTGCCCCCTAGGTCCAAAGGAAAGGGATGGATTAAAATGTTGGGCCTGGCAGCCGTCCCAGGAGTTTCAGCCCTAGCTAAGGCTGGAGGAAAGGGGGCCATCCTAGCTTATAACCACTTGCTTCCCGCACCTTCCACCCACCCTGCAGGAAAGACCCCCCAGCTGTATTCCCATAGCATCCTGGGCCTGCTGGAACGGAAAGAGAGCCGCGCAGGGAGCCCCATCGCTCACATTAGCCCCCACCGGTTCCTGGCCAGGTAATAATGCCCCATGTCACCACGGACCCCTGAGATCGACCCTAAGGCCGTCCCTCCCCTGCTCATGCCACTGCCTTCTGCAGGAAAAACATGGTCTCCACCAAGATCCAGGACACCAAAGGCTGCCGGGCGTGTTGCGTGGGTGAGACTGCCTGCGGGTGTGCGCATGGGAGGTCGGGCTGGGTCCGGGGTGCTGCGGATGGAGGCTGCAGCCACTAGAGAAGGGTGCGGTTGGGGCCTGGTGACTGGAGCCTGGGAGTGGGGGTTGTGGGAACCAGAGCCTTGGTGGAGGGGAGGGGAAAAAGACTGGCCCTGCCCATTCCTTTCCTGTCCCCTAGCTGAAGGGGCGAGCTCTGGGGGCCCGTTCCTGTGCGGGGCCTTGGAGACCTCCGTGGTCCTGCTCCAGTGGTACCAGCCCATGAACAAGTTCCTGCACGTCCGGGTAAGGGTCCGGCTGGGGCCCGCCCACCTTTTACCTTTGGGCATTGAGCACTAGGAAGCCAAGCCTTTACCTGAAGCCCCGCCCTGTCAACCCAAACCCCTACTCAGCCATCCTATAGCCCTACCGCCCTTCCACCTCTGCTGGATAACCGACTGTCTTTCTCAGGCTGCCCTTAGCCCTAAACTTGCACTAAAAACAAACACACAAACTCACTGCCATCCAGCGACCCTATAGGGCAGAGTAGAATTGATTCGGTGGCTTTCCAAGGCTGTAAATCTTTATGGGAGTAGAAAGCCTCGTCTTTCTCCCTTGTGGTTCTCAATCCCACACTCCCACTAGGGCTTACTCTTCATCCCAAAGCCCTACCCCACCCCATTCCCAGGGCCTCTCAAATTGAGGACACGCCTCAGCACCGACCTCGCAGGTGGCCAATGTGGGTCAGACCCCAAGTGACAGCCTGACCTCCGCGGAGGCGCCCCTCCCTTCATTTCCAAACTCCAAGGGGCTCCTGTCCGCAGTTGAAACCAGGAGGTACTCTGCGGGAGGAAGGCCGGGCTTTCTACTCCCGTAAAGAATTACAGACTCGGCAACCCACAGGCAGTTCTACCTTGCCCCATAGGGTCGCTAGGAGTCGGCATTAACTCGACGGCATTGAGAGCCCCCCACCCCCACCCCTCCGGTATCTGTAGCTGTCACCTCCCCGGAAGGCGGGCTCAGGAAAAGCTTAGGAGTCCCCGCGTGTCCTGAGCCCGCCCCTTTCTGTGCGGCCGGTAGCAGGTGCTGTTCCCGCTGCCCTCGCCCCTGCGCGTGTTCGCGCTGCTGACCCGGCCGGGCTCCGAGCTGCCCGCCGTGTGCATCGGCGTGAGCCCCGCGCGGCCGGCCAAGTCCGTGCTCTTCCACACCGTGCGCTTCGGCGAGCTCTCCTGCTGGCTGGGCGAGATGAGCACCGGTGAGCCGGGCCGGGAGGCGGGGCGTGGGGCGGGGCTTCGGCCGAGCGTTGGGGAGAAGGGGGTGGAGCTTGTGTGTCCAAGTCAAGGCCATTGAGTCAATTGGACTCCTAGCGACCCCTGCCCCCCTTGCCAGCCAGTTCGGTCTGATTACAAAGTTAGGTGGTGAGCGGGTCTTAGCACCCGCGTTGGGGAAAAGAGAGGGTGCCTATTTGAGTGGTTGGCCTTCCTGTGAGGAGAGACGGGTCCTTGAGCCCCCTTCTCCCAAACAGAGCACAAGGGGCCCGTGCAGGTGACGCAGGTGGAGGAAGACATGGTGATGGTTTTGATGGACGGTAAGAAGCTCCTCCCCACGCCTCTTACAGAGCTCTTCCAGGCCTGTCCTATCCCCCTCCATACTAGCACTCTAAGCCCCGTCCACAGCTTTTTTAAAAAAGCGTTTTATTGGGTGCTCGTACAACTCTTATCACAATCCATCCATCCATCCATCCATCCATTATATCAAGCACCTTTGTACATTTGTTGCCATCGCCATTATCTGTCCACAGCTCTTTACATCATTGCTTTGTTTTGTTTTCTGCTCCATCACAGGCTCTCTGAAGCTGGTAACCCCGGAAGGGGCTCCAATCCGGGGCCTTCGCACCCCGGAGATCCCCATGAGTGAAGCAGTGGAGGCCGTGGGTATGTGCAGGGGTGGCAGGGTCGGAGGTAGAAGCTCCAGGGACCGCCCCCCCCACAACCCCCCCAAGCATAACAAGCACTGCTTTCCCCCCAGCGATGGTTAGGGGTCGACTCCAGGCCTTCTGGAAGCATGGAGTGCAGGTGTGGGCGCTAGGCTCAGACCAGGTAAGCTCTTCTCCCACCCCATCTGCCAACCCTTCCAGAAGCTTCCTCCAGCCTTAGTTCAGGCAGGTCCCCTTCCTCAACCCAGGGTCTCCTGAGACACTCATGCCGTGCCACTGTGGGGTCTAGTGGCACCGATTTTGCTTCACCCCAAGCCTCAGTTCCTCAGCTGTAAAATGGGGGTGGGAGTGGGGGTGGGGTCAAGACAGAGATAGCCGGTGTTGACGAGCATGTCCCATCCGCCCCTGCGTTGTTTCCCAGCTGAATGACCTTAAGCAAATGACTTAACTTTCCTGTGGCCATTTTCCTCCTCTGGGGATGTTCAGTTCTGCCTGTCCTTCCCGTCACCTGCCAGGGAGCCACTAAGATTAGTCCTCTGACCCACAGAGAGGGTAGGTCATTTGCCAGAAGTCACGGAGCAGGTGGGAGGTGCCGCTAAGGATTATTTCAGGACCCGGCTAGGTGCTCATATATCCGAGCACCAGCCCCCACCCCCCTGCTCTCTTTGTGGGAACCCCGCTTCTTCTAAGGAGGGGGGAGGGTCTTCCAGACACTGACACACTCTTTCCCCCAGCTGCTGCAGGAACTGAGAGACCCCACCCTCACCTTCCGCCTACTTGGTTCCCCCAGGTATGATCTGGGGTGGGGAGAGGACAGAGGGTGTGGGAGAAGGGGACACCCCAAGGGGTCCCTAGTCACCTGTCTGTCATCTGTGGCCTGGAGTGTCTTTGACCCAATCTCCTGATTTCCACCCCGGGGGTGCTTTCCCTTCAGGGCAGCCAAGTGGGTGTTTTCGCTTTGAACTTGACACAATTTTACCCAGAAGTTGTAACTATTTTAAACCTATTGTGTCTTGATGGAGAACTCCAAGTTATTCCCTCAAGTCTTCCTTTTCTTTCTGCTCGTTCCCCCGCTTTTCCTTGTTTTCACTCTCCTTTGTGTTTGTGGAGGAGCCTTGGTGGCATAGTGGGCTACGCGTTGGGATGCTAACCAGTCTCAAGGCCAGCAGTTCAAAACTACCAGTCAGCTCTGAGGGAGAAAGATGAGGCTTTCAATTCCCATAAAGAGGCTCAGAAAACCACAGGGACAGTTCTGGCCTGCCCTTTGGGGTCATTGTGAGTCAGTATCGACTCAATTGCAGTGAGTTTAGGTTTTTTTTTTTTTTTTTTTGGTTGGGGCAGGGGTTGTTTTAAAAACCTTTATCAAATGATATCCTTCTCCCTGTAGATGACTAGCCAAGCATGGCCCTACCCCACAGGGCCATGACTTCCCTAGCCAAGCCCCAGACTCCCTTCCACCTCAAGGCCATTGTACAGGCTGTTCCCTGTGCTCTTCACCAAACTTCCTCTTTCAGTTGCAGCGTCACCATCTGTTCTTGGGGAGCCTCAAATAGCCTCCTATGGGTCTCCCCACCTCACTGTGGCCTCCCCAAAGGTGGGGGACCCTCAGTCTTGGCTGGGCGCAGCCACTTGGCTGCTGGTGAAGGGCTGCGTGAGGGAATGAAGGCCTGCACTGACCGCCCCCTTCCTCCCCCAGGCCTGTGGTGGTGGAGACGCGCCCGGCAGATGACCCCACTGCCCCCAGCAACCTCTACATCCAGGAATGAGTCCCTGAGCACAAGCTAGGAGACAGTCCTTGCACCCCACACCCCAACAGACACACACTAGTGCTCGGGCCATGTCTCTGTCCCCTAATAAACGTGAATAACTTCTGCCTCTGCTGCCAGCTTGATGTTCAGAAGGGAAAGCAGAATTTCTGGAGTCTTCCCCCCACCCACCCACCCCCGTTCCACCAAAAAAGAAATCCAACAACCTAGCACAGTGTTGCCGGGGCAGGCTGTACGGACTTTATTTCTCCCACGGAGAGGAGATTAGCTGAGGAGAAGGGGCTTTGGCGAGAAGAAGGCACTTGAGGTGAGCGTGGAGGGCCAGCTGGGGGCTCAGCTAAGCTGGTCCTCATATTGCTTGCGAAAACAGTCACCAGCTGGGAAGAAATCCCAGCATCGCTCCTGGTACATCTTCCAGACATAAGATTCCTAGAGTTTCCGGAAAGGGGGAGAGCAGGCAGTCGGTCACATCCTGACACGCTGAATGATGTCCTTTTTAGTATCCCCTGCAGGAACCCCAGGAGCCCTGGAGGCATAGTGGGTGATGCATCAAGCTGCTAAGTACAAGGTCAGCAGTTTGAACCCACCAGCCTCTCTGAGGCTGTCCACCCATGAAAAAGGAGCCCTGGTGGCATTGTGGTTGCACTGGGCTGCTAACCTCAAGGTCAGCAGTTTGAAACCATCAGCTAGCTCCTCAAGAGAAAGACAAAGTTTTTTATTCCCGTAAAGACTGACAGTCTCAGAAACTCACAAGGGCAGGTCTACCCTGTCCTATAGGGTCAATATGAGTCCGAATAAACTTGATGGCAGTGAGTTTGGTTTGAATTTTGGTGGCATATGAGTTATGAGTTGGGCTGCTAACTGCAAGGTCAGCAGTTCAAAACCACCAGCCCTTCCTTGGGAGAAAGATGAGGCTTTCTACTCCTGTAAAGAGCTACAGTCTCAGAAACTCACAGAGGTGGTGTACTCTGCCCTACTGGGTTTTCATGAGTCGGAATTGACTTGGTGGAGAGTGAGCTCTGTACAGAACCCAAGTCTCAGAAACCCACAGGAGCACTTTGACTCTGTCCTACAGGGTCGCCTACCAGTCGCAATGGATTGCACAGCTGTGAGTTTGGGTTTTTCTTCTGTTGCCACCCACCAGCAGCTCCACAGAGAAAAAGGTGGCACCCTGCTTCCCTGGAGAGCCTTAGACACCCCAAGGGGCAATTCTCTGCTCTTCAGCGCCCCTATATACTACCTGACCCGTGTGTTCCGTCTCGTCCTTGTTGATCAGATACATCAGGAAAAACCTGGGGAGATGCGGGGTGGGGCACTTGTGAAGACCACCTTCCCTTTCTCTTGATTGGCTGCTTGGGAATTCACACCCAACCACCCGCCCTGGGTTGCTTGTGTCAGTGGCCACACCCCTCCCTCCCGATTGGCTAGCGGGCCTGCGCTCACATGTAATTGGCCAGGTTGTGCTCCTCCAGCGTGTGCGTCTCGAACCCGTGCGGCGTTGTGTCGAAGTAGTCGCTGCCGATGCCGCAGATGAAGCACTTGGTCTGTGGATGGTAGGAGACATCAGAGTCCATGCCCACTTGACACCTCCCACCATCCCCAAGGGTCCTTACACACCCGCGCGCGCGCGCGCGCACACACACACACACACACACATCATACCTCCATGTCCTCCTTCACTTGCTCTTGCTGGTCTCGAAGCTCCCCAAATGCGTCGATGATCAGACCTGGTGGGGGGTGGGGTGGGCAGGGCGGTCAGGGTACGACCTCTAACCCTGGTCCAAATCCTTGCTCCCAGGGCTGCGGACCCCTGAGTTGGCCTTCCACCTCCCACCCGAAATCACAGTCTGCTTCTGAAGCCTAACCCCACCGAGCCTTTCCTGAGCCCCTCCTAGGTGCCCGTCGGATGAAGGAGTGACGTCATCCTCACAACAACCCAAAGACGTGAGCATCATCAACACCCCCATTTTACAGATAGGGAAACTGAGGCTGCTCCCCCATGGTTCTCACAGCAGGGAAAGGCAGTGTCAAGATTTGAACCCAGGCCCACTGGACACAGGGCCTGTACGCTTAGCTACCGGCCAGTTGCCTCTCGACACCGAGCCCCGCCCCTTCCCACGAGCCCAGTCTGTGTGCACCTTGGATAATGGCCAGCAAGATGACAATGACGAAGAAGAAGAAAGTGATGTCGAAGACCACCCGGTACAGCTCGTACTCGTCGCCTGCCGGGTCCTCAATCTCGTCCCCGATACCTCCACCAGCCCGGACACCCACGTACATATGAAATAGGTAGCACTGGGAGAGAGGGGACATGCTGGTCACTTGATCCAATCAGCCAACGTGCATGGAGGACCCGCTGAGCACGGAGACCCAGCAGCAGCGCAGACTGGGCTCACGGACATGCGGCAGCCCCAAAGTGGTCATGGCTGTGATGGGGGTGGCGCAGGGGTGGGGGTGGGGATGTGACCCCCCATGGAGGCTGAGGGAGATACAGGAAGCTTGGCAAGCCCGCCTGGGCGATCAGGTGAGGCTTCCTGGAAGAGGAGACGGGTGTGAGCTAAGAGCTGAAGAGGGGAGAGCTTTCCAGCCAGAGGAAACCACATCAGCTAAGCCACCAGCAGGGAAGAGAGAGTGAGGCCCTGCTGAGAGGAACTGAAAGCGGTTCAGACAGGCAGAGCACCGAGGGCGGTAGGGGAGGGCTGGTCACAGAGCTCTCTGTGTGTCCCCTTCCTGGGAGGGCTTCCTGTAGGAGGTGGCATTTAAGACGAGAGGGGAAGCGTCCGAGAAAAAAGTCGGGTTAAAAAAAAACCAAAAAGGTCAGGAGTGGGAGGTTGTGTGTGTGTGTGTGTGTGTGTGTGTGTGTGTTGGGGTGGGGGGCTGAGGTAACATCAAGCACCAAGGGTCTGAACCAGGAGGAAGCTCATGACCTCAGGGGAACTGAAAGAGGGCCAGGTGGTCAGACTCTAAACAGCACAAGGAGTTGTGGTTAGACTCTGGTGGGACCTGTTCCTGCAGGCCTTGGGCACCAGCCAGTGCAACGGGGCTGGATTTTTATGGGGAGGGGGGCATTGAAGAGCCACGAGAAGGCTCTGAGCAGAAGGCAGCTGTGGTCCACGTGGCACTTGGGTAAGTCCTCCCATTTGTCCTCTCTGTGCCCCCCAACCAAGTATGAGACCCCCTGGCCTGCTGGGTAAGAGCTGGGGCCAGTGCCTGTGGTGAGAGTGAGGTGACCCATCGGCAGGGCTCAGATGTTGGGCTCAGGGGCTGGGTGCTGTTCCTGTGTTTATCCCCGGGCCACCGAGCTCAGAACACGAGTAGGTTAAAGTCAGGTGGAGTTACGGTCGCCATTCAGTGGACAGAAAAAGAAAGCAGCATGCATTGTATGCTGGGACTCGAGGTGAAATTTTTCATTCTGAATGGACTAACTTCCATCCAATCAACCCAGACTCACGGAGACCCTATAGGGCGGGGTGGAACTGCCCTGTGGGTTTCTGAGACTGTAACTTTACAGGAGTAGAAAGCTTCATCTTTTTCCCAAGGAGCAGCGGGTAGTTTCAAACTGCTGACTTTGTGGTTAGCAGGCCAATGTGCAACCCACGGTGCCACCAGGGCTCCCGTGACTGACATTTAATGAGTAAGGTGGCTATCCAGCCACTTCTGAGTCCGGAAGGCCTTGTGTGTGTCAGAGCGGCATTGTGCTCCATGGCGTTTTGAACCATTGGTTTGAAAAAACAGAGCACCAGGCCTTTCTTCAAAGTCCCACCTTTCACACAGCCGAGTGTGTGACCGGTTTGGGTTCTTAGGAACTCCAGCTAACCTTTTCTGAGAGAGCATGTGGGTGCCTGGCACTGTTAAGGGAACTAGCCCCATCCTGACCCACCCATGGGAGCAACATGAGGCTTTCTATTCCCATAATGTCTGGGAAACCCACGGGGGG